ACTGCCATTGCCTTTTTTATGCTGTATGAAGAGCCCTGTCCCAAAATGATTCACTGCTAGTTTAATAGTGATATGGACGATGCATCCACCGTGTATATCAGTCCAAAGATAAAAAGCCATGAACTGGCACAGCACTGGATTTTACGCATTTCTACGTTTTCCATCAGTTTTCCACCTTAAGTTGTTTGGAGATCTGAAATAAGAAGGCAGAGTTTTGTGTGTATTTGTCATTTATTTTACATGTCACTTCCTTGCAGATCCCCTTTGAGTTGGACATCCAGGGTCTGCTACAACCAAAACGACCAATCAAACTGAAGCTGGTGCCACGTTCTTAACCCTCCTGCTAAAAATAAAAATGATAATGAAAGATTCTCTTCTTAATTGTGCTCGTTACAAACCTTTTGTGTACAGAAGCAAATGCTAGTTTTTTACCGAAACAGTACAAGAGTGTGCCTCTGCATCTTTTTTCTTAACTGAGTGACAGATGAACCATTTTACTGATCTTTAAAATCAATAAAGAATGTCCAGATTCTTCTACTCTGTCCTGTCATTTTTATGCGCTGCAGATAACTCTGAATGTAGTCACTTTGCTGCTCACATTAGGAAAATAAATGTTAAAATTCAGTTTTATGTAGTTTCCAACAACAGTCAACTCAAGGCATTATATGACCTAAAGTGAATGCCCACCAGTACCAGAGAGAGACCCCATAATTGCTTTAGTGAAAGGTTTGGTGATGATGTGGAGGGCAAATTTCTTTTGACCTGGAAGACACAGCGAGCAGAATAAGGCTCAGGGCGGGGCCTGGTCGGGGCCGTAGAGACCACAAACAAGAAATAGGAAAAAAAAAATTAAAACTCTGGAGGAAAATGGAGAAAAAGGTTAATGACAGGCATGTGGTGGATTTTAACCTGATTTCTAGGTTTAAAGGGAGCCAGTGAAGAGAAGTTTAAAATGTCAGGCCCATTTCTTAACCACTCAGGCTCTTAGATCATGGGGACGACCTGAGTGGGATAAAGACACGAGTGCTTTCTGCTGTTGTGTAAGAGCATTAATTACCAAATGTTAAAACAAACAAAAAAAGCTTTACCTTAAGAAATGTATATCTGTATGAAGCACTGAAGTAAAATAGCCTCTTTTTTTTTGCTCTAACAGCGCCCCCAAGTGGACACTTTTCCCCTTAAGTTCATGTGCTCTTGCCCCTTCACTGATCCATTCTCCGGGTTTTAGTCCATCTTGTTCTTTCCATGTTTATAAACAGAGGCTAGAGATAAAAAAAAAAAATCTGAGGCGGGCAAACCAGCTACAGTGCAAACACTAAATGTTCTTAAGGTTGGATTGGAGGACTACATGACGCTGGAAATAGCTGAAATCCGCGCCATTACATCAAAACTATAGAACCATATCACTTGATTAGACTAAAATGGGATTTAGCCCAAATGTACAATAATATATACTTTGTGTTTTAGAAGCTTTAATTTGAGAATTGCATCGTTTTCATTTATTTATATTAGACAGTACCTGCAGTCTTTTGGGCACTAACCGTAACCAGAATCCAGGAAAGACGTGAAAGTGAAAGAGAAGAATGATCAGTTATGAATAAGAGCTAGATTTTAATCTCAAGAGACCATCCTAGAAAGTCTGTGATGAAACTGAACACAACCACCAGTTTCCTTTTGTGACCACATGAACCATGTCCGTCCAGAGGGCCCCAGGTGTGGCGTTCACTGCCATTTTCGTTTAAAATCATTGCTGAGTTTTGTTTCGGGCTATGCTGTCTAAAATGTTTATTTTAGCCGTTTTGTGCAACTGCAGTGCAGTTTGTTTCCATTGCATTTGTTTTTGTTTTTATTTTCAACTTGCTTTTAAATACACTGTTTAAAAAAAATCTAAGAAACAACACTGCACTGTGTTCAAATATACTACATAAATAAATGATATGCATGATGATAGCAGTTTGTAAGGATTGTTTCATAATGTATTGTTTCAGAAGTCTCTTCTGTAACACAATTATTTAATAAAAGGGTTTATTTTTAAAATGCATAATTATGTCACTTCTTAGCAAGTCTGTTTGAATTTCTGTCTCATGTGGAACCATGCCTCTCTAAAGAGAGACGACACGTTTTTCACCTCTGCTAAATATTTGCTAATTTTCTAATGATTACTTTTCCTAAACTATTAATCCAATTTTGACATAATCAAGCTCTTAACTGTAAAACCATGACTTTGCATTTGACCTTTCTTGAAATGGAAAATCCGTAATGCTGTATAGTAGTTGGTTGCAATGTTTTTAAAGCACAATAAAATATCCTGTAAGTAATGTTTTTCATTCACTTTGACAGTATGAAGTTGAAAGTACTGTGCCTCATTTCACTATAACCTTTGGAGCGGTGCCCTAAATTGGTAAATAATTAACCTATTTGGTTGTGGAGACAGACACATGTCTGTGTATGGATGCCAAGTGATGAAACGAATATACATGTTTACATGTAGTTACATGTTTCATTGTTTGGGGCACCAAATGAGATCCGTGTTTCATTTTGGTCAGTGTTTATACAAATAGAGATAAAACAGGCATAAATAATAAACAGGCCTAAAACAAAGGTAAGATTACAAAAACGGTAATGGAAAAAAAAAACCCACAACCTAATAAACCAATAAAAATCGTGTTTTTAAAAAAAAAAAAAAAAAAAGTGAAATGAAAACACAGTTTTAGACTACAGGGCTAGACTAGAAACTAAAGAATGGGGAACAAAGCAAAGAAATCACACAAATTACTTTCAGTTTCAAGTGCAAAATGTTTTTTTCCTTCTTTTTTTAAACTTTGGGCATTTCGGAATCGTTAAATACAAGGAAATCGTTATTTAGTGCATTTCACAGAGGGTTGAACCAAAAAGATCAATGCGTAGCACATGTTTGAACCGTCACATGATGTCGGATTAAATATTTCTCACTGAAACCTTTAGTGAAAAGGTGAAAGTGATATTACTTTAAGGTACGCCAACATAGTGTGTGCTGTCGCTTTTCAGTTGCTGTGTGACAGTCAAGTGAGCTTATGACGACGTGTCCCTGAACGCAGCACCAGTCCGGTTCCCGGAGACTCCGCTCCTGTTCTTCCACTGAGCCGGACTCCATGTTGTTCGTCAGCCACGGAGTGAACAAGTTCCCTGGCTGAAAACTCTCACGTTGCAACTCTGTGTGTGCGAGAAGTTAAGTGTGTGCGCGTGCGAGTGTGTTGACCCTCCAAAAGAAGATGGCAGACTACCGGGATGACACCGGGGCTCGAGCCCTGCTAGCTTTACAGTCGGCTCCGTGCAGCCCGGTGCGCGTCGCGGTGACCTCGCACACCTTTCACCAGCCCTCGTTCGCCCTTCTGGGTCCTCCGGTGATGGATGCCCGCACAGACGCCGGGATTCTTCCCGTGCGGCTCGCTTCTACTCCTCCGCAGGCCCTGGCCAGGCTCGAGGGCCGGGACTTTGAGTATGTCATGCGCCAAAGAACGGTCACCATAGGCCGGAACTCTTCTCACGGCTCCGTGGACATCAACATGGGTCACTCGAGTTTCATTTCCCGACGGCACCTGCAGATCACCTACGACGAGGCGAGTGGCTTTTCCCTCCGGTGCCTGGGCAAGAACGGTGTATTCGTGGACGGGGTCTTCCAGCGAAGAGGGGCGCCACCACTGCCGCTACCCAGAGAGTGAGTGCGGTCAGCTAAGCCTAGCCGCTGCAGTCAGGCTTCCCGTGATAACACGGTGGCTGGACGTCGCAGGGCTTCTCACACTAAAGTTTATTTTATGCATTAACAGTGGAGGTCTAGCGGTTACTTCAAACAATAAAACGACTCAATTGTAAACCCACGTTAGCCTCACGAATAGATTTCTGAACACTGACGGGGAGAACATTAATACAAAACGACCTCCACGATGACAGGGCCAAACGGGACACCTATCCTGTCCGGGGTACAAAGTTTGTCACGACACCCCTACCAGAGCGGCTTGGTGTTGCATAGTAATGGCAGCCTAGGTCTGGACAGTAAAGGTGGAACACGATAAGTTGTCAGGTCTCCAGTGTAACTCACAGCGATGTTATGTTGTCATATTCAATTAATATTCAGTTTGCCCGGATGTTCTTAGTGGACCCCTTCAGCTTTGCCTTCAACCCGCTGAATGAGTGAATCAGTCTAGCTAGTTTTAGCCGTTAGCAAACCTAGCTGCATTTCCCCGGCCTGCTGACAAGCATAAGCAGTTAGTAAATTATTATTTTTTCTTTCGAAGTGCTGCAACTGGTTGGTGTTTTTGCATAAGTACGGCGTGTTATATTGTCTTTGAAATAACTTTTTAAAGTAATCTAATTTTCAAAATAAACGAATCAGCACACCTTGTAGCTTCTGAGTGATTATGCTCGCTACTAGCTCTCAGACTATTGGCCGACGTGTCACGTAAACATTAATGTAAACAAACGCATCCCAGACATGTCATCTCACGGTTCTTCGAGGAGGACGGGGTTTTTTTGGTAAATATTGAAACTTGAAACACGTTTTTCCTCTTTTTTTGTTGTATGTCTCGGGTACAGTGGAATGTAGCTTCTTTTTTTTCCACTGCGGTTGCAGAGCTGTCGCGTTTACACACGTTGCTTTCACTGGTTTGTTTAGTACAGTTGCAAGCTTACAAACGGAAATCTTCGGTTTTGTGTATGTGTCAATCATAGGGTGGAGGCAGTATGAGTGTGTTTGGGTGGGGGGTGTCTTTGTCTTCTCTGATTGGCTCGAAACACTGTTTGGGGGTGTGTCGGTTATTGAACCGGAAGTGCAGACTGGGGCGATATCCTCGCTGCAGGCGCACATGACGAAGTAAACACTGACTTGCGAGCCAAGGCCACAGACATGTTTGCTTGGTTTGCTTTGGCCCTGGAGGGTTTTCTCGAGATTACAGAGCTAGCGAAACTGCGCCGAGTTAAAATATGAAAGACAACAATTTCTCTGCATTGTCATGATTTGCAAATTAATTTCATTATGATACTGCTGAGCAAAAAGACATTTAATAAAAAAAAGAGACTGAGCTAGATTAAGTGCAGATCTAAACAAACGATAGTGGCTTATTAGAATTAATTTTCTCAAAGGAAGAAAAATTCAACTATTAGCAAAAAAGTCCTTCAAATTCTGCTCTAAAATTCAGTTTACCCTTATATAAGACAGAAGCAGCAACAAACACTTTAATGTAAGAAGCTTGAGCAAACAAATGCTGTGCAACTTTCCCTAAAAAGTTACTAAAATGATTGGTTAGATTAAAAAAGTAAATTTAATTTTGCTTTCGTTTTGTGTTTTATCAGCTACATATTGCCACTCGTGTATAGTAATTTATCAATTTATACAGGACTGTGCAAAAGTCTTGAGCACCCTTCATTTGTTTATGTTTTCCAATGAAAATGGTAAATGGGGGCTGAGAATTATTGAAATCTGCAAACATACATGGAAATAAATCATATGAGGCTGTTTTTGCCTCATATGATTTATTTCCATGTATGTTTGCAGGTTTCAATAATTGGAAACTCTGCTTTTGAGTTTGTGCAATTTTAACAACTTGAAAAGTCATGATATGACCACCTTTATTCTTCAACAGTCTGTTTTCTAAGGCAGCTTTCTTCTGATTTCTTTAAGTAGTCTTCAGGAATATTTCTCCAGGCTTCTTACATGACATTCAAAGCTTTTCCTTAGATTTTGGCTTTGTTTTATTACATTCTCTGTCGATATGCTCCCACACTGCTTCATTAATATTAAGGTTCAGCTCTGGGGAGGCCAGTCCATGACTGAGTGTTTCATTGTGCGCTTTTCTATCTGGGTATGCTTTTACTGCATTAGCATGTGTTTGAGATCATTGCCATGCTGAAAAATGAAGCCACTGTCAATCAGATGCTTTCCAGATGGTATTGCATGGTGGATAAAAATCTGATGGTTCTTTTCTGTGTTCATAGTTCCATAATTTCAAACAAGATCTCTAACACTGTTGTCAAACCATGACAGAGCCTTCACCATGCTGTAGACATTAAATGCTGTATCTCCCTCCTGACCTCCTCCATGCATACTGATTGAACCTCAAATTTCAAATTTGATTTCATCACTTCGTAAGACCTGTTGCCACTGATTTGTTTTTATAAGTCTAGTTCTTCTGTAATTTGGCAATCCTCACCCTTTTCTCCCAGTTTTGCCTTTTTTAAAGAATGCCTTCTTGATATCCACCCTCCCACGGAGACCACTTCTAATGAGGCTTCAGTGACCAGTAGATGCATCAACTGTGCATCGCTCAGATCCTGCAAATTTTTCTTCCTATTTTTACATTTTATTTAAACGACACTGCTTTCAAATACTGCTTTCTGCTGCAGATAGATCTTTGGTGATCACAGAGTTTTTGAAAAAATATTCTATATCCAGACAAACTGTGTTATCTTTGGCACTTTTCATACATTCAGCTAAAGAAATTAGAACAAATCCTGTTTTTTTTGTTTTTTTTTTCAACATGCTGCTAGTGACAAAGTGCCTAAAGGTAGAATTTAAAATGGTTTCTTTGCTAGGTTCTCTGTTATGTGTTGACACAACACTGACACTATAAAGCCAGATTGATGGTAGGGCTGTCACGATTACGTCGACTATCAAAATCATCGACGACTAATTTAATAGCCGACACGTCGTTTGAAGCTTTGTAAGATCCCAAAAGACGCAGGAATAAGTAGTAGGATTTAAGAGTGTAATAACGGACTAAAACAGAAGATGGCAGCACTGCACGCAGAAGGATGCCAGCTGCCGTTAAACCCCGAAGAAGAAGAAACTGTCCCAGAATTCATAGCGCGACCCATCGCGGCCCTGCTCAGTTTCCGACAATGGCGGCAGGCAGCTAGTTAGTTTTAGCCTCCTAGGACCTGGCGTCCACATATGTGGACATCACATTTTGGGTTATTTAGACCAAAATACTCAATTTTGCTCTACAGGGGCCTGATATCCACTTAGGAGGACATTGTACTGCCACTGTTCTATCAAAATTTTAAATGAATATCCTCATATGTGGCTCTCATTTTTCTTAGAGACGAAAATAAGGTAAAAATAAAATCTGGTGATTCTTTGTTTTTACATTAATCGGGCCCCAATATGCCCAAATATCAAAGAGAAATTAAAAATGCATGCCGTGGGAGAGTTCGGGGTGTGTTCACACCGAACGCGATGGACGCGAATAGAGCGTCAGCTTTACATGTAAAGTCAATGGAAAAGTGTGATGACACGCGATTGCGGGTCCCGCGAAAATTCGGAAGCAGATTTGCGTCGCCAAAACGCGTGAAACGTGCGTCAGTGTAGCGCGTCTGGCGCGTTTGACTCACGAATAAAACCACGCGCGTGAGTTTTTGTGTTGCATTTTGTGCATACGCACGTTTCACGTCTACCGCTCGAGTTGGAAAAATCTGAACTCCAGC